GCGTGAAGGTTAGGTAACTAAGTACGAGGAGTGCAAGCCAGCTCCCCCATGGTTCCTGCCGATAGTGTTCGAGATGACATGAGTGTGCTTCGTGTGCCGCCATGTGCGAGAACGACTGAACGTGAGCCAGAGAAAAAGAGCCCCACGGCCTCTCTGTGTCTTTTCTGGGTCACAGCAAGGAACTGGTTTTTAAAAACTTATTTTAATTTGGCCCGGACCTGGACGGCCCAGGGTAGCCCGATCTCATCAGATCCCAGAACTAAGCTAGTTTGGTGTAGTGGGGAGGGGAAGGGAAAGGAGTTTGTAAGCCACTCTGAGACCCCTTCGGGTAGTGAAGGGCGGGGTATAAATCCAATCTCTTCTTCTTCTTCTTTTACCTCACAGGGTGTCCGTTGTGGGGAGAGGAAGGGAAAGGAGTTTGTAAGCCGCTCAGAGACTCCTTTGGGTAGTGAAGGGCGGGATATAAATCCAATCTCTCCTTATCTCAAGAGCAGTCCTCCAAAGAGCTCTCTCAGCCCCACCTCCCTCACGGGGTGTCTGTTGTGGGGAGGGGAAGGGAAAGGAGTTTGTAAGCTGCTCTGAGACTCCGAGTGAAGGGCGGGGTATAAATCCAATCTCCAACTCCAACTCCTCCTCCTCCTTCTGCTCTTCTTCTTTTTCTTCTTCTTTTCTTCTTCCTCCTCCTCCTCCTCTTCTTCTTCCTCTTCTTCGCAAGGCAGGCCCTGATTCATACTTGGATGGGAGACCGCCAAGGAAGTCCAGGGTCGTTATGCAGAGGCAGGCAATGGCAAACCACCTCTGAACGTCTCTTGCCTTGGAAACCCTTGTTGTTGTTCAGTCGCACAGTCGAGTCTGAGTCTTCGTGACCCCATGGACCAGATCACGCCAGGCCCTCCTGTCTTCCGCCGTCCTCTGAAGTTGGCTCAACTTCATGTTCGTTGCATCTATGACACTGTCTAACTATCTCATCCTTTGCTGTCCCCTTCTTCTTTGACCTTCAATCTTTCCCAGCATCGGGGTTTTCTCCAGCGGGGGCTCCCTTCTCATTGGGTGGCCAAAGTCTTTGAGCTTCAGTTTCATTATCTGGCCTTCCAGGGAACAGTCAGGGTTGATTTCTTTTAGGATGGACTGATTTGATCTCCTTGCAGTCCAAGGTCACCATAAGTTGGCCGAGACTTAATGGCATTTTCCTCCACCACCTCCATGTTAATTTGCCTTTGGGCTTTGGAAGAATCACTCAAGATGATGAATAATATCAGAAATGTTCTTAAAAATACAATGGGACGCCTGCTAAGGTCTCAGGCCCATCAATCAATCAATCAATCCATTAAAAAAAGCTCCTTTGGTGGGTATAAGAGAGATGGCCTTTTCAGTGGCAACCCCATGATTATAGATAGGGTTCCATCTCTGGGTTGGGAAATTCCTGGAGATTTTAGGGGTGGAGCCTGGTGAGGGCAGAGCTTGGGGAGGGGAGGGACCTCAGCAGGGTATGTGGTGGACCTCTGCGTGCAATGTTTCTGGTATGGCGTCTTAACATTAGACCAGGGGTGTCAAACATGTTGCCCGGGGGCCGGATGAGGCTTCGATCAGGCCCGCAGTGGAGCTGGCTGTCTTCTGCTGCTTCTTCCATTTCTGCTGCGTCATCGTGAGTTTGCAGCTTACAGATACACACCTGAACAGCACACTCAAGATTGCGACAGCACAGACATTCGGATGCAATAATTCAGAGCAAGAGGTGTCAGTTATCAGACACTGTCAAATAAAGAAAGTATTGCAAGAGTGCTGATGTTTTAAGCATGTTTTTAAGTTTAAAAAAAACCCTTTGTGTTGTGTCCTTTATAAAGTTTATATCTCCGCTACCTGGCATTACATTTTATGACACACGTGGCCCGGGCCCAACAAGGTCTCATTTATGTCAGATCCGGCCCTCACAAGAAATGGGTTCGGCACCCCTGCATTAGACACTCTTCCCATGTCTGGCAAAGAGGCGTGTATCAGAGGAAGTGCTATAGTATGGTTCGGCATGGTTTAGGGTTCCCTGGGTTGGGAAACACCTGGAGATTTGATTTGGGGGGTGGTGTCTGGGGAGGGCGGGGGGTTTGGGGGAGGGGAGGGACCTCAGCCGGCTGCGACGCCATAGAGCCCGCCTCCAAGGTGGCCATTTTCTCCAGGGGAACCGATCTCTGTCGCCTGGAGATCAGTTGTGATAGCGGGAGATCTCCAGTCACGACTTGGAGGTTGGCAAAGGGTTGCCAGTTCTCGGTTGGTACATACCTGGAGATTTTGGGGGTGGAGCCTAAGGTTTGGGGAGGGGAGGGACTGCTACAGAGTCCAGCCTTTAAAGCGGCCATTTTCTCCAGGGGAACTGATCTCTGTGGTCGGGAGATCAGTTGTAGTAGCGGGAGATCGCCAGGCTCCGCCTGGAAACCAACAGCCCTCTCCAGGGAGTGGCGCCTGGCCCCTTCCCTGTCGATCTTCAGGAGACGGTTGAAGTCAGTTTTATTTAGGGAGCATTTGATTAAAGCAGTCCTAAATTGTGGTTTTAGAAGTTGTGGATTTTTATGTACTGTTATACCGTGAGCAGTCTTGGGCTCCTGAAGGAAGGAAGGCAAACTGAGAAATGTTTTAAAGAAATAATATAAAGATGGAGGCAACATAAAAGTCAGTCATGTTAGCAGGAAAGCCTCAGACGAGGGGACATTTAAGAACATAAGAACACAAGAGAAGCCAGTGTTGGATCAGGCCAATGGCCCATCTAGTCCAACACTCTGTCACACAGTGGCCAAAAATACCAGGGGCCCTCAGGAGGTCCAGCAGTGGGGCCAGGACACTAGAAGCCCTCCCACTGTTGCCCACCCCCAATCACCAAGAATATAGTGCATCACTTGCCCCAGCCTGAGAGTTCCTATCTATAAGAACATAAGAGAAGCAAAGTTGGATCAGGCCAGTGGCCCATCCAGTCCAACACTCTGTGACACAGTGGCCAAAAATACCAGGTATCATCAGGAGGTCCAGCAGTGGGGCCTGGACACTAGAAGCCCTCCCACTGTTGCCCACCCCCAAGCACCAAGAATACAGTGCATCACTTGCCCCAGACTGAGAGTTCCTATCTATAAGAACATAAGAGAAGCAAAGTTTGATCAGGCCAATGGCCCATCCAGTCCAACACACAGTGGCCAAAAATACAAGGTGTCATCAGGAGGTCCAGCAGTGGGGCCAGGACACTAGGAAGTGGTGGCGGCTACAAGCATGGACGGCTTCAAAAGGGAATTAGATAAGCATATGGAGCAGAGGTCTATCAGTGGCTATTAGCCACAAGGTATAGATAGGGACTCTGGGGCAAGTGATGCTCTGTCTTCTTGGTGCTTGGGGGGGGGTCAACAGTGGGAGGGCTTCTAATGTTCTGGCCCCACTGGTGGACCTCCTCCTGATGGCACCTGGTATTTCTGGCCACTGTGTGATACAGAGTGTTGGACTGGATGGGCCTTTGGCCTGATCCAACATTGGCGTCTCTTATGTTCTTAAGCCCTCCCACTGTTGCTCACCCCCAAGCACCAAGAATACAGTGCATCACTTGCCCCAGCCTGAGACTTCCTATCAATGCTCCCTCTAAGCTGTAGAGTCCCGTGACCAAAAATCCCACTTCATTTAGAGGCCCTCCAGAAACAAATAAACCCCCTTCCGCTTGTATCAAAAGGGCTTGTAAAGATGGTGACGACTGCTATTCGTGAGGAAGGGAGTCCCGAATCAACCCTCCTTTCTTCAGCTCACCTTTGTTGCCTCAGCTAGACTGTAGGTTCACATGGGACAAGGCTTTTGGTCTTTAGATGGTTTTCAGACGAAGACTAGTTCAGTGGACCATTAAAGAAATATCACTTCAGCGTTGTTGTTGTTCCATCGCACAGTCGAGTCCGACTCTTCACGACCCCCATGGGCCACATCACATCACGCCTGTCTTCTGTCGTGCGCAGAGGTTTGCTTAATTTCATGTTCGTTGCCGTCCCCTTCTTCTTTGACCTTCAGTCTTTCCCAGCATCAGGGTCTTCTCCAGCGAGTGCTCCCTTCTCATTTGGTGGCCAAAGTATTTGAGCTTCAGCTTCAGTACCTGGTCTTCTAGGGAACAGTCAGGGTTGATTTCTTTTAGGATTGACTGATCTGATCTCCTGGCAGTCCAAGGGACTCTCAAGAGTCTTCTCCAGCACTTCACTTCAGCTAGCAGAGTGTTAAAGAATCGAAAAGGGGACTTTTCCTTTGGTTTGTACTGCAGGAGTCGGGCCCATGACTCAGTGGTAGAATCATAAAATCTTAGAGTTGGAAGAGACCTCCTGGGTCATCTAGTCCAACCCCCTGCACAATGCAGGACATTCACAAATACCTCCCCCAGTGACCCCTGTTCAATGCCCAGAAGATGACAAAAAAACCCTCCAGGATTTATGGAGAAAAATTGCTTCCTGGCCCCAAAGTGGCGATCACCATTTCCCTGGGTGTGCAAGAAAGGGCCACAAGAACTAAGCCCTGAGGCAACCCTTCCTGCCCTCCCTCTCATGATCTGCTGAAGTTCACAGAATCAGTATTGCTGTCAGATGGCCATCTAGCCTCTGTTCAAAAACCTCCAAAGAAAGAGAGCCCACCACCTCCCGAGGAAGCCCATTTTCATTTTTCTAGCCCAGTTTTTCTGCCTGTCGAGGTCATCCTGTATCCTGACTCTGTCTTCTACAATATTTGCTACCCCTCCCGATTTAGTGTCATTTGCAAAGTGGACATGCCTGTCATGGAGAAGACATTAAGTTAAACCCCTAGCATCTCCAGTTAATGGGGAATGACCTTTCTCTGCCCGAAACCCTGGTGAGCCTCTACCTGAGTAGCTAAGTTAGATGGACCAAGTTAGATGGACTGAGTTAGATGGGCCAATTGGCGATGCTCTAGAAGGCAGTCTAGAATGTTTTCAGTGGACTGGCGTGGCCCTAAAGTATTCCCCTCTCTTATCCTTTTGTTCCCAGCTGTTGACCATCGATGATAATTTCTGTGGCCTGGATATGAATGCCCCACTTGGAGTATCGGAGATGGTGCGAGGTCTCCCCATCTTCACAGAAGATCGGGACAGCATGACGTCAGTCATTGCTTACGTCTACAAGAACCACTCTCTGGCTTTCGTGGGCACCAAGAGCAGCAAGTTGAAAAAGGTAGGACAACGTTTTCCCTAATCTGATGTGGTTTATGATGAAGGAGACGCGTCAAACGGTATGCTTGTTGGGACAGACAATTTCTGTTTTCGAAAGATGGTTCCTACTGCGGTTTCGCTGATGGGAATGGGATCTGTCTTGGGGCTTTTCTGCATTCTCATTTTTTCCCTCTCTTGTAAGCTCCTGTTTCTTTGTGTTTTTTTGTTCTATTTGGCACTTGTTTTGCTCCCCCTGGTGGCCAGTTCGATATTACACCGGTTTATGTCCAGCACAAAAATCTGCAGGTTAAACCTGGAGGGATCTATGCCTGACATAAACCGGTGTAATATTGAATCAACCACTAGAGGGTGGAAAGCACATACAGAACAGAAAAAAGAACCCTGAAGCAACAGGAACTTGCAAGCAAGAAAATTTAGAATGCGGAAAAGTCCTAGGACTTGGCTTGAGCCAGATCTCATAATCACAGCGGTCCTGAAGTCTGTGTCTGAGATGGATGCATGGGGCATCCGCTTGCATTTGGAAATAAGTGTTTCAAAGCACAGCTCCGCCTCTTGTTCTTGTGGCGCGATTGCATGGAACGTTGGTTCTTAATCACGTCCGGATGTTAGCGTTGGCTCTGTGAAGGATAAACGTTTTTCTCATTTGTGCCAGTTTATGAAAAATAATTTGGTTTCAAGTGATAAAGTGTTATATTTAGAGACAACAAATTCCTCAGAGCCGGCCGTATTATTCTGCTGCGGCAGAAAGAACAGAGAATCTTGGGGCGTCTTAAAGATACACGGGGAATGAATTATGAGCCTTAACCTTGTTTCATTGGATGGGTGCACGCCCTTGCTTATGAAAGCATATGCAGCAATAAACTTGTCCCTTTAAGAGCTTAGCTGTTTATACTGATTGGATTGCCCCTGTGGATTCTATATCGAGAGATGTCCTTTCCTTACCGTCTGAGCTGATGTCCCTTGGGCGCCATCCAAGAGAATGGGACGTTCACCCTTGGCTTTGTAGCGGCTTTTCACTATTACAGCAATTTCCATTTATCGTTCAGGGCCGTCTGCATTTGTATTCCGGTGCCAAAGCTGCGGCCGAAAGAGGCGTTTTAACTCCGGTTTTGGCAGATGCTTTGATTGTCTCTCAAGATCCATCGGAGGTGACCTTCGAGTGGAGAGAGATTAGCTCGATACATTGCATGCAATGGTCTAACGGAGGGCCGGAGATGTCATTCTTATGGAATGCCACGTGCTTCCTTACTTTGATCGAGTTAAACTATTCAGGTGGCGAGCAAAGAGTAGATGTAAAAGGGTATTAACTCTTCTTGGGATTTTACTGTAAATGATGGCGAGCGAGTCCTCCGTGATCTATCTTTTTAAATGAAGGAATCCTAGCATAAGCCTTCTCTCTGGATATTTGAACTTTGGGCTGGATTTTTGGGACCAATTCTGATATAAGGTTGAAAGTGTAATGTGTACAGGGTTTCTTGGGACTGTTGGTTCCCCCCTCCTCCCTGATTCTGGCCCCCAGGATATCATCATCTGCAGGGGTACCATTTTGGGAAGGCGCGGGAGGAATATTTGTCTTCCATCCTGTTTCGAATCACATATCGTTCTTCAGAAGCGTTGCTTTCTCTAGCCAACTGACTGCAGTAAATTGTTAAATGGATCCATGTGGCAGGAATGAATTTCAAAGTCGCAAATCCTTTGCTCCAAAAAAGGGGTGACAGTCCTGCACTGCTGACACTGCTGTAGCTGAGGATCGCTGTGTTATGGATTTAGCTACAAGCATTGACAAAAGGTTGTATTGGACACTGGCATTTTTGATACTATGTTAATTTTGTCACGTTTAGCATCTCCCCAAAGGTTCTTCCCACATCGCCGGTTCTCGAGTTTTGCAGCGTTTTGCGTCCGTCATCCTCGCCATGGTTAGTGGGGATAATCTTGGGTTAGGATTGGAACATTGTCCATTTATTTGTGGGGAAACTCTAGTGTAGGGTGCTGGGAAAGTGAGCTTATAGCCAGAGCCTGTTCTGCAAGTGTTTGGTTTGACACAACATGGAAACTACTCCTTCCTTCCTTCCTTCCTTCCTTCCTTCCTTCCTTCCTTCCTTCCTTCCTTCCTTCCAGGGCAGTGTACAACAATTAAATATACAATTAAAACAGTATTAAAAGAACAAATTACACATAAAATGGTAAAATACCGTGTAACTATAAAAGTTGTCAGATGACTAGTCAGAAACAGGCCACTGGTGGACAATTGGCCGGGAAAAGTTAGGGCCAGAGAAACTGGGGGG